ATATGAGGAACATGCATGAATTGGGTCAGAACATGTCTATTAAAAACATTGTGTACTATTTTTAAATTATGAAACTAATTGTGCTAGTGACAATACATACTCACACTCAAGCCACAGAAAACAACGCAGAATTAAAATTTCGCTAATTTCGTGTAACATTAAAGCGTTATGTGCATCAAATTACCCACGCAGTTTTGACGTGACATTGATCATAAACCTACAATGAGAGTTATTGACTTATTTTGAAAGGTGAGGCAAACACTAAACAATTGATCCTAAGTCAAAGCCATGGGATCGAGAAAGGGATCAGAATGAGAATTAGGAAGCTAGTGCCCAGGTTCCTCAAAACTACCTGCATCACAAACCTCACCAATCTACCCACCGTAACCTGGCTTAGCTCAACTGTATAGTGTTTGCCTGCTTTTAAGTAGTTAAAGGATCGAGACAAAAAAAGAAAAAGAAAAGTCTGATCCTTTCTTCTGCTTAGAGTCCATATCACACAAAAAGGAAAGAGAGTGAAAGAGGAGAAGAGAGGGTTTCAAGCATGAGATACTGGGTGCCTCGATCCGACCCAAAAGGGGGACACGACTTCTCCCACACTCCTGGGCGAAACCCTCTCCCCTCCGCTGACTCTCCCCTTCCCTCTCATATGATCGGGACTAAAAGCAGGTCACTGTGAAAAAGGGTAGCTCAACCCATACAGTGATAAAATATGCTCATGTCTTCATTTAATCCAAAACAGCTCGGATATGTTCTCCTCTCCTCCTCTGGTAGTCTATCAGTTCTTCTCTTTCCTCCTATCAGAATGCTAGTATTAGATGAAGATCCAAAATTGTAAACTGTATATTAGTGCTGGATGCTTGAGCTTCAATGCTATGATAGCAGTGGAAAGTACTATAGCTGTGTCCACATCAGTGACCACTTCCTTGTTAGCTGATGTCCTTCCAAAGAGCCATTAGTAAATCATGTGGAATGTTCTTGATTGATACACTAGCTCTCACAAGGTACTGAATTAATTCATGATGCATGGTAACAAACGA